ATATAAAATTGGTTACACAAAGTTGATCTACAATCTATTTTATATGAAATTAGAAATTTGTACACCCTACCCTTAAAGTTTTTAAAAAAAAATTAGCACAGCTTCTATTTTGATAAGTGTTTTAACTTTACTCAAACTTTGAACAAATGTATTTTACAACTATTTAACCAAATTTGATGAAAATTTTTTATTTGAATTCTATGAATTAGTAATAGTACCTGATCAAAAAAATGTTATCCAGTTATCCGACAGGTAAACCTGCAGATTACCTTGGTGATCAACAGATATATCTAAATATAAAATCTTATCTGATGTACCTGGGTAGAGTTACAGCTGTTCTTATAAATTCTGAAAAATTTAGCAAAAATTAACTGACCAAATATTTGTCAATTAGTTATAAACTTTTAATTCGAATATAATTATATCCGAATCAAAAGTTTATTACTGCTAAATCATCAAAGCTTATCGAATTGACAAATATTCGGTTGGTTAATTTTGACAAATTTTTCAGAATTTTAAGAACAGCTGTAATTACAGAATTACAGCTATTATTATAATTTTTGGGACACCTGCTTATTACAATCTTTTTGGTCATTTGGTAAATTAACTAACTCTCTAAGAATTACATCATTGCCTTCAAATTGAAGGTCTGAAGACAGCGATGTAGTTTCTGGAGAGTTAGGTAATTTACCGAATGACCAAAAAGATTTCGGGTAATGAGTAGGTGTCCAGAAATTATGATAATAGCTGTAAATAAAAATCTGCTGAATGTTTTTCGGTCATTCTAATTAATTATTGATTTCGGCATAATCGAATCTTCTATACAACTATCGGGTTCTTTATATTTAGCTTTGATAATTCAACCCAGATATTCAATTTGGGTATGCTTATCCAGGTATTATCTGGTTATGCTTATCCAGGTAGCTGAGTTCATAATCCAGATATCTGATTATCAATAGATAACCTAGATGATACCAACCCAGGTATCATCACTACTATGAATCTATAGAATTCAAATAAAAAAATTTTCAGCAAATTTGGTCAAGTGGTTGTGGAAATATCTTCATTCAAAATTTTTTAAAAAAATTAGATACAGCTTCTATTTTAATAGACATTTTGATTTTACTCAAACTTTGAGCAAAGATATCTCCACAACCACTTGACCAAATTCACTAGAAATTTTTTTATTTGAATTCTATAAACCTATAGAATTCAAATAAAAAAATTTTTAACAAATTTGATTAAGTGGTTGTAAAGATATCTTTGTTTAAAATTTTGAATAATTTTATTTTTATTTCTGTAAATCGTTTGATGAACAGTTCAAGAAATCATAATGTTAGGTTACACAAAAGTAATCAACCTGTCTGACGTTATCGCAATTGTCAAAAATAGAGATCACGTGATTTTTTGCATTTTAATTGGCTGAAAAGCCAAAGATATATAGTTATATATTTCTAGCTAGAGATGTTTAAAAGAACCTTTACAAAAATTGTAAAAAAAATTGCTATTCTTTATATAAGCTATAATATTGTATTAGAAACTATAGTTTTAAAATTCATATTTAAAAAATTTATCAAGAATTATTAATAATTTTTTAATTAAAATTTTTTTCTAAAATTAATTATTTTTAGCTTATAAGCACCTATACTCTTTTTCTTATAATATAAAATTAAATATATCTACTATAATACTGTATAATCCTTATTTTCAACTTTGTTTAAATTTTTTTATAGGCAAATTTGCCTGGGATTAGCTTACAGTTTAAGGGATACAGCACGACATAATTAATTAGTTTTATAACTCGGCCGAATCAAATTTTGAAACTTTAAAAATTTTATATATGTAAAATTTTTTTTAAAAAGAGCAGCCAGACTGCCGGTCTATTTAAAAACCTCATGATATAAAAACCAAGATAATAAATTTGTATAGTTTTATATTAAAAACAAATTTTTAATAAAACAGCCTGCCGGTTTTTATTTGCATGTTCTATATAACAAGAACTAATTTGTTTATATAATCTACAGAAATACTTAATACTATACTGTATATTTGATGTTCTAAATAAAGATGTTTAACATCTCTTAATTTTAATTTTATCTTTAATTCTATCGTATATAGTTTAAAATCAAATCCTAAATTTATTATAGTATATATATAAAATTATAATAAAATACATATATGTGATTTAAACACTACTGGTGTGTTTTAAGTACTATACTTACTTTTTTAAAAAATATTAGCGTTAGCTAACTGCTTTTATAACATGTGAATTTTAATAAACACAAACCGATACGTATAACGATAAAATGTTTTTTTTCTAAGGATTATATGTAATATGGCTAAACTTGAAATTGAGATATTTTTTATTACAAGCTAATTTTAATAACATTTACATTTACATATAATAAAGAGAGACTGCTAAATTACATAACGATAAGTATATATGTATATAATATGTATATAACACATATGTATATATTTTTTTTTTTGATAAAAATTTTTCCATTGTGTGATATAAGTCTTTATCACAAATACGTAGCATTTCATTGTCCACTTGGTCACTTTAATGTCACGTTATTCACATGATATCTTACTGAATATTTGATTGGTCCAACTCTATCAGATAAATTCTATAATTATATCAGAAATCCAAAAAAGTAAGTTTTGCCACTTAAACTCAGCTATCCTGTATGATTGCTGTATGTGTTACGACTTTGAACTTTTTTCTTGAAAATTTGTAGTGTAATAAATTCCTCTTATCGAATAGAAGCCAAGTCCACAATACGCATTCTTACGTCCAAAGTATTTACACTCTAACCATGGAATCGTCGAATAATAACACCACTTCACCGATTGAATCTTTTACCACGAATGTTATAACTATTGTATGTTTCCGTTTATGTTGAAGTAGCTTCTCACTTGACAGGGATATGTCTTATAACAAATAATAAATTTTCTTTCGGTTCTTTGTAGTCAAACGTTGCGAGTATAGGCTGGTGCAAGTACTCTTATGCTTGTCCCTCCGACAAACTCCGCTCATTTATCACCTCCGCACCTCTACTATCGTCGTGGTCAGAAGCCACCAGCCTTCCAGCAATGGACGATCCTATCGTGGCAAACTACTTAAAGTTGCTCGAGGAAGGAGTTCCATGTACGTGGCAATACAGTGGTGAATCAAAAGGTAGCTTTGAAAATCTTTTTACAGACAATATGATAGTGCATAGAGAACTGTGGATTTTTTGGCTTAAGGGGCAGGAAAACGACCCCTCCTCTCAAAATAGTTTGTATCAGCTAAAAGGTGAGTTGTAAATTTTGATCATTACTAGCATTTACATTTAACTAATTCATCAATTATTATTAATTCATAGATTTAAAACAAACTGATGGAGGAAGTTTTTCCTTGAAAGATATCGATTCGCTCACAACACAATATCCTTTATTCATAAAATCTATTAAAAATTTAATAAGCCGGTACGATACATTATCTCATATCATTTGTGCAGGATGTTAACTTGAATGATTTTTAAATAATATTTTTGTTTTACGACATTAAGATCTTTAATAAGGAAAGGTGCAGTTCCTTTGGGTGAATGGCACGTCTTTCCACAAAATTCTCTGAAAGTATACGAAAGGTTAGACGATGTATATCTATAAAATTCGAATATATATAAAAAAAACAAACAATTATTAAAACTATCATTTTTTATTTATCAGTATATTATGCTGCAAATATGAGGTACATCTAACGGCCACAAATTTAATCATCCAGCCAATTGTAAAACATCAGAGTTTGCGTCTTTTAGAACCTAGTGACCTTGAGTCACCCGACTGCATACGAGCTGTCATATCACCTTCCGGTTTACGAGTCAATATACTGACAATTAAGCGCTATGAAGAAGAGGATGTATCCGCTATCTCAAAAGAGTTCAAGGCATTTTTTGATATGGATTCATCAAAGATGTCTGGAACAAATGAATCATATTTACCTCCTTTAGTGCAAATATCAATAACGCAAGATGCAGTTACCAAAGAATTTCCTTACCCTTCACAATGTATATATGTTGTTACTGAGGGTAATATAAGCTATCAACGTGGAATTTCTGATTTCGGAATGGGACCTGTATTATGGAGTAATTTGGATGGTGGTTTCTCAAATAACATGCTGCCCCAAGATCAACT